TGATAGGAGTAGACAGGGGCGGACTGACCATTTGGAAACTCAGGGCACTGCCCGAGGGCCCGGGGTCAGTAGGGGGCCCCATGAGATGCCCCTGGTACCTTTTTCATAGGCTTTTTTGAGTTTGGGCAAAGACACAGGGGCCCCATGATCCCCTATTGCCCGGGGGCCCATGAGTTGTCAGTCCATCCCTGGGAGTAGACCAACCATATCGGCTTCTGCACATATCAACATTCAAACCAGTTTTCTAGTAAGTTATAACTTCCATTTGGCCTTATTTCTAATCACAGCATGCAAGTAAAGACGTATTAATACTGCTGCTTTATAAAAATGGATTTATCACTTTGCCAAATTTCAGCTGCTGTTTTTCTACCTAAGGTTAGAAAGTCAGTGAATGCATTTAGGAAACATATATTTTTGTTCCTCCAGTTTTTTTTTATCAAAGTGAATTGAAACTCATAGCAACATATTACCCCATGATATAAAGCAATGTGCAACAGTACAAAACTTTGCAACAAGTATAAAGTGTAACTTAATCATGACCGAGAATAATTAAAAGCCATATAGAGTAAGGAGACTCAGGAAGGCTCTGTACACTAGCACTAGATTTTTATAGATGAAAGCACTTTCAGTTATTTAACAGTAGCTGCCTATTGTGGGAGCTTTTGGCTGTACGTTACTATCAGGCCACAATAATACCCATAGTTCACCAGAAATCAACATACATGGAGGAAAAAAGGGAGGTTGGTCCAGATGGCAGTGCAAATGACCAGTGTGATCTACAATTGACTGTGAGCCTGTTGTTGTGAACTCTGTTCATAAATAGCTCTAGATGAAAGCAAGTTGCCATACTCCTGTAGATCTTTTACCTGTCTTACATGAAAGATGTTTGCTTGCAAGTTATATGTTTTCACAGTATGTGCCAAAATTCCAAGTTATCAGCAGTGGTTTTCTGGGTATTTAGGCCAAGGTCAACAAAGAAAAAAGCAGTTCCCTTGATAAATGACTCACAGGTACATTCACATTGGATAGACATCATTTTCTTCAAGCATTACATTATAACCACTCATCACAGCCACCACAGACATAAAATGTTACACTCTATATCATGGGTCTCCAAACTTTCCAAACAAACGGCCAGTTTACTGTCCTTCTGAATTTAAGGAGGGCTGGACTGTGGCCAGTGGAAGTAGAAAATGTCAGTGGGAGTAAACAGTGGAAGGAATATTGCCCCATTGTTGGTGTCAGTGGGAGGAATAGTGCCCCATCGTTGGTGTCAGTGGGAGGAATAGTGCCCCATCATTGGTGTCAGTGGGGGGAATAGTGCCCCATCATTGTTATCAGTGGGAGGAATAGTGCCCCATCATTGTTATCAGTGGGAGGAATAGTGCCCCATCATTGTTATCAGTGGGAGGAATAGCCCCATCATTGGTGTCAGTGGGAGGAATAGCACCCCATCATTGTTATCAGTGGGAGGAACAGTGCCCCTCCATTATTTCTGTCAGTGGCAGGAACTGTGCTCTCTCTATTGCTGTCAGTGGGGGGAAGGGCACATCCGGCCCCCAGGACACAGTTTAGAGACCACTGCTCTATATTATAAGAGCATTTTAAATATGAATAGTGTGTATATATACATATATATATATATATATATATATAATATATATATATATGTTCTCTGCATGTATACAGCCATGTACATAAACATGCTTACAGTAAATTCACCAGCACACCAAATAGAATTTGATATGGAGTCCCGATTAAGGAAAAATAACAAGGTTTATCCTTGTATATATGCACTGGCATATACACAGGTACAGGTACAATTTCTCATACTGCACATACATGCCTTAAAGAAAAAACAGTATAAACAAGATGGCTCTGATATAAAAGATAGGCTGAAGTTACAGTATAATTAAAGGTTAAGGCTATAAATTAGGATAAAGCCACTTTGCTCATTAAAGTAAACAGCATGTCGCAGTTTTGCCAACAGACAGGGATGCCAAGAATGTTGTGAAGGTAATGCATACAAACATTTTAAAAGTATTTCTGTTCTCTTAGCGTTAAATATCCATATTAAATTGATTTGGGGAATACATGACTTTCTAAAGGAATGGAACAAAACAGGTTTAAAACTTTGAACCTACACATAATTTTGTGGTGAGATCCCATCATCTAGTTCTGCATTGTAAGCCTATTTCCAAACAATAGCTCCATTAGTGAGAATTCTGAAATAAAAACAAAACTGGGTTTCTTTCAAAGTTCTGGGTTATTTTTTGCTTCTCCAGCATCCAGTTCCTTGTCATACCTTTAGGTATCTCTATTCCAATGGAAAACATTGGGCAACTTACTGTATGTTTGCGCTATCTTTCATAACTTTTCACGTCAAAGGTTCCTCAAAAAAGTATCTAAGTTGGGGAGCCTTTAAAAGTATTTGATATTAAAAGAACAATATTAGGATAAATATGAAAGCTAACAAAAATGCAGAAGAGACAACAGAGTAAGATCTTATCAGGACTTATCATATATATCATTTTAAGATTAAGAGTATGTATAAAGCAATATAGTAATTCAGAATTTGCAGAGGTGGGAGTTCTGACCTCTCTGGCAGCGAATTTATTTGATGCTTTATCGCTAGCAAATTCAAGGGTAAATAGGGGTTAATCACAGGGCCCTAGGGGCTGGGGGAGGGATCTTCTGCATGGCTGACAAAACTCATGCACCCCGCTGGCTCCCTCATTGATTGGGATTAATTAAGATCCAGTCGTCTTTCCATTGCCCTTTGCTGGATTGTGCACTGTGTCCATAAGCATTAGCATCTATCTATTCCAGTTAGACAGGAGGAAAAGATTTACTGAACAGCTGGCTACGGGTGGCAAAAATGAAGCTGTATTGTACCTAAATACATTGTCAAAATGTATGGTGAAATCTTTTCAAGTGGCAATTTCAATTGCTTTATCTAACTATGTATTAGATTTTAGTTCGTTTAGTTTTGTTACCAGACACTAGAGTTTGGTTGAAGCCAAGATAAGAAAGACAGGTAAGACAGACAGATACATGCATACAGACATATTTCAATGACTGTTTACCTAAAGAGTAACTCCACTTTTGTTGAGAAAAAACCCTTCCCCTCTGGGTGAACTGTACATTGCAAGGATTTTTAACAAACTTTATTGCAGATTCCTGCCTTTTGTTATTCTGAAGAAATAGCTGTTTGTGTCAATGTGCATCTATCAGCTGCTGCACCTGCAGGCTTCTAATGAGGGAAGTGGCAGGATCTGCATGCCTTTAAATGTGATTTCCCTTTGGGAGTATCTTGCCAAAAATGACATTTTTGATGCAGGGGATGCCTAAATTCTGACTTGCAGCTTAGTGCAGACTTCTGGGAAAATCAGTCAATCACACAAGCAGAAAATGACATATCTGGATGTGTTCTGTACACCATCTGTGTACAGAATGACTCTGGGTTGTCATATTGCATTTCACAGAGAATCACAGCAGCTGCAGAGTTCACATATATGCAGTGCGGTATATCGCATATGATTCGCACAGGAACCGCACCGCATTCCTGTGCAAATCTCTTGCGATTTGTGTGCGGTGCCATTGGAGCCATACATTTTGTATGGCTCTAATTGCATCGCACCTGGTGCAGGACCCTTTTTTTGGGTATTCACACCTATGTGATCCAATTCTGCACATCACACCACGTTTTGCGCATCGCTTTTGGGGTGTTGTTAACTTAACATACACACCTGCAGCGGTTTGCATGAAAGGGGTGCGATTCTGACGTGGTAGCGCAGAAAACGCTGCAAATTCTGCACTGCATCAGTGTGAACCAGGGCTGAAAATAAAAGGTCATTTTTAATAACATTCAATTTAAATATGACTTATGTAGCAATTGTATACACTATATATATTTTTTTTATTTGCTATGTTTTCCCACAAAAGTGGATTTACCCTTTAAAGCAGTGGTTCTCAACCTCTGGGTCGCGACCCTTTGGGGGTCGAACGACCCTTTCACAGGGGTCCCCTAAGACCATCAGAAAACACATATTTCCGATGTGTAAAGAGCAGCTACTGTGTAGAAAGCAGCTGCTTGTGTTGAAAGCAGCTACTCTGTTAAAAGCAGCTACTGTGTTGAAAGTAGCAGTATTGGAGGTAAAACGACACTCATGAATTATAATTACTGGGTAAATAATTTTATGGTTGGGGGTCACCACAACATGAGGAACTGTATTAAAGGGTCGCGGCATTAGGAAGGTTGAGAACCACTGCTTTAAAGGGTCAGTTCTTTCATTCCTTTGCCGTAGTCTGCCCTCTCATACCTTCTGTGGCATGTCATGTCTCACTCCTCCTGTTTCATTCACCACAATGTATAATGTATTGAAAGTATCATGGGAGGAATGAGTTTCTCTCACCTGGACTTTAAAACTTAGGTGAAGTGGAGGGAAGGTGACAAATAACCAGCCCACCTAAAGATTAACATTGAGTTAATAGATGGTGTTGGTATGCTTAGTCATCTGCTGTTTTCTTATACCTTTTGGAATCTCCCTGTCATAGCTCCTAGTTCTCTTCTTATAAGCATTGAATGTTGGGTATACCCACCTTTGTGTCATTCTTGTTGCATCAATCTTGACTTAAAAATAAAGAGAACCCTATTGGGGTAAGTAGGACTCACTGCACAGGGGGCAGTAGCAGGTGTACTTAACAGAATATGTGCAAAGAAAATGTTCACTGATTTCCCCAGAGATATAGGAAACCGTTAGGTGAATGAACATACTTGTATCTACTAAGAACGATATGATCCACTTTTGCTACATCTTCATACCCATTGGCCAGAATGCAGGTGTTTGTTTCTGGCAAGGATATAGAGTGCAAGGTCCTTTGGGTGAAAGGATTGCTGTGAACAGTTTAATGTTTATGTAAAGAGCCATTGAAAATGATGGATATAAGGGAATAAAATATTAATTAAGATCCAAAAACTGAATTTTCACTCTTCACAGGTACTTTCCCTGGGGGCAGACGTATTGCCAGAATACAAGCTGCAGGCACCGCGGATTCACCGATGGACCATCCTCCATTACAGCCCTTTCAAAGCCGTGTGGGACTGGTTAATTCTGCTGCTGGTCATCTACACCGCTATATTTACCCCATATTCAGCAGCATTTTTGCTGAACGATCAGGAGGAGGAGAAAACCTGGGAGTGTGGCTACTCCTGCAACCCTCTTAACATTGTGGACCTAATAGTGGACATTATGTTCATTATAGACATTGTCATCAATTTCCGCACAACTTATGTCAACATTAATGATGAGGTGGTTAGCCACCCGGGCAAAATTGCTATCCATTACTTCAAAGGCTGGTTCCTTATAGATATGGTGGCAGCCATCCCTTTTGATCTGCTTATCTACAGGACAGGTTCAGATGAGGTGAGTAGACTTTTCATTTTATGTATGTTTTTTTTAATCTACAAAACATATGCTTCAAGGTTTTTTTCTCACCATGTGAGACACATTAGATCCTAAACATGGAGGCCATGCACATTACTCAGGTGGCTGTATCCTCAAATATATGTGAAGCTTCATTGGAGGGCAGACATTAGGCATGCAGCTCTACATAAATTAGGTCCAAATAGTAAAAGAAATACAGTGCTGTGAAAAAGTATTTGCCCCGCTCCTGATTTTTTTTTTTTTTTTGTGTGCATATTTGTCACACATCATGATTCAGATCATCAAACACATTTTATTATTATTATACAAAGATAACCTGAATAAATACAAAATGATGTTTTTAAATGATAACTTCATTTATTACTGGTCTACTGCCAGACCTGTTGAATCAAGAAATCACTTAAATAGAAGCTGTCTGATAAAGTGAAGCACAATAAAAGATCTCTAAAAGCAACACATCATGCCACAATTTAAAAAAAATTAAAGAACAGATGACAAACAAAGTAGTTGACATGTATCAGTTATTACAAAGCCATTTCTAAGGCTTTCAAACTCCAGTGAACCATGGTGAAAGCCATTATCCACAAATGGAGAAATCTTAGAACAACGACATCTAGGAGGTCATAAAAGAACCCCAGAACAACATCTAAAGAACTACAGGCCCCACTTGCCTCAGTTAAGGTCAGTGTTCATGATTCAACAATAAGAAAGTGACTGGGCAAAAATGGTATCCATGGGAGAGTTCCAAGGCGAAAGCTGCTGCTAACCAAAAAGAGCATAAAGGCTTGTCTCACATTTGCCAAAAAAATCTTAATTATCTCCAATAATTTTGAGCAAATATTCTGTGGACTCATGAGACAAGTTTAACTTTTTGGAAGGAGTGCATCCCATTACATCTAGTGTAAAACTGACACAGGATTTCATAAAAAGAATATCATACCAACAGTCAAACATGGTAGAGGTAGTGTGATGGTCTTGGGCTGCTTTGTAGCTTCAGGACCTGGACAATTTGCCATAATTAATGGAACAAAAATTTCTGCCCTCTACCAGAAAATCTTGAAGGAGAATGTTCGGCCATCAGTTTGTGACCTCGAATTCAAGTGCACTTGGGTTATGCAGCAGGAAAATAATCCGAAACACACCAGCAAGTCCACCTCTGAATGGCTCAAAAAACAAAATGAAGGATTTGGAGAGGCCTATTCAAAGTCCGGACTTAAATCCCATTGAGATGCTGTGGTACGACCTTAAACGGGCCATTCATGCTTTAAAACCCTCCAATGTGGCAGAATTAAAACAGTTCTACCAAAGAGAGTGGGACGGAATTCTCCACAGTGACGTGAAAGACTCATTGCCATTTATCGCAAATGCTTGATCGCAGTTGTTGCTGTCAAGGGTGGCACAACCACTTATTAGGTTTAGGCAAAAAAACCTTCTTCACATAGGGCCAGGCAGATTTGGATAGCTTTATTTCCTTAATAAATAAAATCTTCATTTAAAAACTGCATTTTTTATATACTTGGGTTATCTTTAAAATATTAAAATGTGTTTGATGATCTAAATCATTTAAGTGTGAAAAAAAAAAATCTGGAAGGGGCAAATACTTTTCGACAGCACTGTAGTATCTCTTTCGGGTAAGTGGAATGGTCAGGAGTCTGCATCCACTGAGAAAAGGACAATCTATGTGATTGCACGAATGTAACTGGGGGTAGAGAGGCAGCAGAGTGTGCTGTCAGTGGAGTGGAGTGAGTTAGACAACTGCAGAGAGTGCCAGAGACTGTGTGAAGGCACACATGTCACTGAGGTGCACAGATTGCCCTGGGAGTCACTAAACGACACAGAATGCTCTAGAATCACAGAGCGCACCAGGGGACAGTGACACAGGATGCTCTGCGATTCACTGGAGTCATGGGGCACATTGGGTCACAAGATGACACATGATTCTCTGAGATACACTAGAGATATGGGGTGCACAAGGGTGCACTGGAGTCACTAGATGACACAGGATGTTCTGGGGTGCGCTGGAGTCACAGTGTACCCAGAGGCAGACTGGGGTCACTACAGGAAACAGAATTCATGGATGCTGCAGGGTACATTGGTGTCACAGACACACAGGAGAATACCAGAGTCACAGAATTCTCTGATGCTTCAGGATGCACATGTGAGTACTGCAGCAGGGGTACAGTTGCAGCAAAGCAATGCATTGCTTGAATGCTGAGCCTTGTGTTGCTTTGCAAGTTATCTATCTCCTGATTGGTCGCAGCACTGAACAAGAGAACTGTTTCCTGATAGACCACAATGCTTGAGCTCCTGGTGAAACACAGAGGTGACCCAGCACTGGATCCAGGACAGGTAAGTATGATAGTAACAAGTAGAAAAAGAGAGAAGAAAACTATAGTAGGCAACATGCTTTCAAAGAATATCTTTTACACCACATTCCTGTCCAAATCAAATGTGATTCTTTGCAGTTCAGTTTGAGCCCTTTCACTTTGTACGGCTCAAATCGCACCGCACCCACACAAAAAAAGGTGTGCTCACCTTTCTTTTCCGCACTGGAATTGGATCACATGGATCTGATTCCAGTTCCTTTTGCGAACTGTTTTTGGGGTGTCATTAACATTGACACCCACAGCAGTTTACATAAAGGAAGCGCGGTTTTGATGCAGTGCAGGAAATGAAAAGGAATTGCTGCGAATCCCGCACCTGCATCAGTCCGCACTGGGACTTCTAAACAAATGAGTCTAGTCTTCTGTTTAGAACAGATAAAGCAGAACTCTAGGAACTTTAGCTTTTATTATATAAGGTAATTGGTCTCAGCCCCTTTTCGTTCTACAAGGAGTGTGTGACTGTAGCAGAAACACAAGCAGTGGATGGTCACATGTTTCCTGCTGAGTATTGCAGAATTTATTGGAACTATGTGAATGTATAACATAAACAGATATATAACTTGTTAAGTAGAATGACCATAAATTTCAGTGAAAGTGCACTACGCACTTGGGTAATGAAAAAACAGTATCACGTGAAGTGAGTAGGGTTTGTTTCTGTAATGTGCATGGATGTTTCTTAAAATAAAGAATTCCATGTCTTACATTTATAAATCTCTCCTCTAGACAACCACTTTGATTGGCCTATTGAAGACAGCTCGGTTGCTACGTTTGGTTCGAGTTGCCAGAAAACTGGATCGATATTCTGAATACGGTGCAGCTGTATTATTCCTCCTAATGTGCACCTTTGCCCTTATAGCTCACTGGCTGGCCTGCATCTGGTATGCCATTGGCAACGTGGAGCGGCCCTACATGGAACATAAGATTGGCTGGCTGGATAACTTAGCCATTCAGATCGGAAAGACTTACAATGACACAGATTCAAACTCGGGGCCCTCCATCAAGGACAAGTATGTGACAGCACTGTACTTCACCTTTAGCAGCCTGACCAGTGTTGGATTTGGTAATGTCTCCCCAAACACCAACTCAGAGAAGGTCTTCTCCATTTGTGTCATGCTGATTGGATGTAAGTTCATAGTACATATGGTTCAACCTGTTTATAAAGAAAAATAAAAAACAAAAGGCACTGGAAAGGCAAAGTGGATAGTACACTACATCAATATATACACAAGGGGGTTGACCCACTCACATGTGTTTTCATGCATTTTGCTGCATTTTCCATAGTGGGCAAAGCGCATAGTAGGAAAAAAAATCATTTTTTCCAATAGGGGCTGTTCATACCAACATGAGTACAGTATGATGAAAAAGTCCCCTGTGCTGCATTTTTTAGGTGTTTAGCATCAAAGTCAGCTAAATAGGGTCCATCAAAAGCTCCTTGCAAGGCATCTGAACTTTCATGGCAACATTACCAAACACTGTTGTGCATTTTCAGAACCACAATGATAAGTTTTTGAAGAATCCCATTCAACTGACTTGTGTGTACTTTCAAAAGCATCTGGTGGGAACTTGTTTAATCTATGTATCAGGTCAGAAGTAACATCAGTGCTCAAAGATGGACTTAGGAACATCTGCACAGTGCTAGTGTTAGGACAAAGTAAGCAATGATTGTTCTCTTTTTAAATAAATAGGTCAATAAACTCTTAACACAGGGCTGAAAAAGGCCTTCAATCAGGCCAGGACTGGGATAAAAAATAGGCCCAGGATTTTAGACTGAACAGAGCCGAGCCCGGGGTCCTTTCCTGGGAGCCCAATAGTGGAACGCCCTCCTAGCACAAATCCCCCCCCCCCCTTCTAACACAAACCCACCCAAATTACCACTCCTAGTAGAACACCTCCCCAAATTTCCCCTCCTAGAACAATTCTTACCCACTGCTGCTCCCCAAATTCCCCCTCACAACACAAAGCCCCTTCCCCCAATCTCTTTGTGGTGCCCCCCCCACCTCGCATGACACCCCAGTGCCCAGGGCAACCGTCCCTCCTGTCCACCCCTTGTCCCAACCCTGGCTGCATGTATAGATACAATTGTAGGTTTAAGTCAGTGTGTCAGGCTCATTCAGCTGTATTGTAATATGAATAAACAGCTCATTTGAAATCCAGCAGCAAATGTCTGAATATATTTATTCTCTGAAAACAGTTTAATTCAGCACATAGTAAGAGCATTTAAATGCTACCATCACACCTATGAAGATTTAACATGTCTTATTTTAATTAATTTAAACAGTTTAAATGATATAATAAACGTCCAGATGATGACTAGATCTACTGTAGAACTATAGAACTGTTTATAGGGTGACACATGGCGGTGCATCCTGTGCCCACTGCATTGCTTTATGAGAACAGATAAGGCTTGTTATAATTGCAAAGTTGTATGAAAATATTTTTTGGAGGGCTTTTGATATTTTACTTGATTGCTATAAATTTCCATTTTGTGTATTACATAAAATGGTTGATCATTCCTTGTTAGGAAGCTTTACCCTGGTTCAGGTTAATGTGACTTTTGTATGTAACGTCTAAATTGCATTCCATACCACATTCAATGGGAAACCTAATTTCCTGCAGCTATTGCAGGCTGAGGTTTAGATTTTCCCAATAGTGCTGTCATCTGGGACTTGGCCAAGTAAATTAGGCCCCAGGTCCCTGCCTGTCAATAAAGGTTGAAGCACTTTAATTTCCATTTAGCAGCGGCTGCCATATTGACTGCAATCTATCAGTCCTGCAGACAATGGTGATATGTTAGCTTCCTTAGTTTAAAAGGAAAATAACATTTATAAAAGTATAACCAAAGGCAAAACTCTTAGGGAGGGGGAGGGGAGAGAGGAACCATTAGGGAGATTCACCCCCTCTATCTGCCCTATTTACTATTATCATTGAAAGTAAAAACAAATCCTAAACTTTTTGAAAAGTATCAGAGGGGAAATCTTCCTATAGGGACAATAGTTCTGGTGACCTGGGGGGGGGGGGGGGGGTGCCCAAGTGATTCCATCTCACTTCCTGTTTTGGTTTTGGGATAAGAAGTGAACGGAAATCTCCCCAATGGGACACAGATGGGAAAAAAAAACTCTATCCATAATGAAGAAAATGTTTTGCTAATTTCTAATTTAATGTAGTATTAAACCCAGTGTTTTAGCTTAGCACACTGAGCATCATAAAATGCTCCTTCCTCTCTATATATTCTCTCCTGTCCTCCCCCCCCTTCCCCTCATCCTCTCTCCCTTTCTCTGTCCTCTCACCCCTTCTGTTCTATCTCCCCCCCTCTGCTCTCATTCCACGCCCTTTGTCCTCTCTCTCCCCCCTCCTTCTCTCTCCCCTCCATCCTCTCTCTCCCATCTTCCCCTCCTCTCTATCCTCTCTCTTCTCTCCCTCTCTCTGTCCTCTCACCACCCCCCTCCCTTCTCTGTCCTCTCTCCGTCTCCTCTCCCTCTCCTCCCTTTGTTCTCTCTCCCTCCCTCCCTCCCTCCCTTTTTTTTCTCTCTCCCTCCCCTGTCCTCTCCCCCTCCGCCCCCCCCCCCCCATCCTCTCTCCCCCTCCCTTTCTCTGTCCCCCCCCCTCCATCCTCTCTCCCCCTCTGCCCCCCCCCCCTCTTTGTCCTCTCTCTTTCTGTCCTCTCTCCACCCTCCCCCCCTGTCCTCTCCCCCCCTCCCTCTCTCCTCCCTTTCGCTGTCCCCTCTCCCCTCTCAAACGAAGCCTAGAGCGGCCTCTGATGAGTTTCTAGTACTTTGTTGATGTATGCTGTTTCTGCTCTCATCTTCTTCCTGCTCCATAGTGTTTAGCAATACAAGGTCATGGAGCAGGAGGGAGGAGATTGTCATTTAGCACTGTGTATATGCCCACATGTGTGACTCTATGATCATGTGGACTGCACAAATAAGAAAAAGGCAGACATGAACAGCTTAGAAGGGAACTGAAACTGGAGATGTTCAGTAGATGAGGCAATGGCTGATCTACACAATCTCAGGCTGCAGTGGGGACACAGACAAGGAGAGAGGAACAGAGAACAGCAGGATCAACCAGGTTTTTTGCAATCTACAGAAAAAGAATGCTGTAGTGGGAAAGTGAGTATGAACACAATGGGGGAGATTGACTAAAACTGGATGCAAAATCTGGTGCAGCTGTGAATAGAAATCAATCAGATTCCATTTTTTTGTCAAAACCTAATTGAACAAGCTGAACGTAGAAGCTGATTGGCTACCACACACAGCTGCACCAGAATTTGCACTCTCCAGTTTTAGGAAATCTACCTCAATGTAATATAACATGTATTTACAGTTTATAATGATTTGTGTTTAAAGCGGAGCTCCACCCAAAAGGGGAAGCTCCACTTTAAAGCCTTGTCCCCCGCGCCCCGTTAAGGATTGGCGCCTTTGGAGAGCTGGGGGTACCTGAATTTGACTGGTGCCCATTCCCACTTCCACTGCAATCGCCTAAGCGATCAGAAGTGGAAGTTGTCTTCTCTTCTCCCTCTTCTGGGACACGTGACAGGTCCCAGAAGATTACGGGACAATTCACAAAGAGCAGCGCTACTCGCACATTCAAAGTGGGCACCCAGTGTGAAGCCGCAAGCTGTCACAGCCGAGTGTCCACACTGAAGATTCTGGCACCGGGGACGCAGGACGGACGGTGAACCTGGCTGTGGTGAAGACACCGCTGGATTGAGGGATAGGTGAATGTCTGTTTTTAAAAGTCAGCAGCTACAGTTTTTGTAACTGCTGACTTTTATTTTTTTTTTATTTTGACTGGAGTTCCGCTTTAATGACACATTAATAGGAGGCATAGGAAGTGGCCTACTTGAGTCAAAATTTTGAATCTAGTAGGGAGCTTGAGTAGTGACTGGAAGCTACATGAAGTTGCCCTCACCTCACCTTGGCACTATAGGGAGTACCACTTTAAATGAAAAAATGTCAGTGTATGCCAGGGGCGGACTGACCATTTGGAAACTCTGGCACTGCCCGAGGGCCCGGGGTCAGTAGGGGGCCCCATGAGATGCCCCTGGTACCTTTTTCATAGGCTTTTTTGAGTTTGGGCAAGGACACAGGGGCCCCATGATCCCCTATTGCCCGGGGGCCCCATGAGTTGTCAGTCCGCCCCTGGTGTATGCTTGTCAAGAGTTTCGGAAAATGTTTAAAAATGAATTTCAAACACAATGAAACACATTGTCCACATCAAACTCTATTAAAAAGAAGGATGCAAATGTTTTTTTTTTTTTTTGTATTAATGAAATATTTATGTCAGATATCAACCAGTTTCTATGGTTGTTTTCTCATTATTGTAGTTTCTGGGTATTTTATCTTTTGGTATTTGTCTCTTTTAGCTTTAATGTATGCCAGCATTTTTGGCAATGTGTCTGCCATAATCCAGCGTCTGTACTCCGGCACTGCGCGTTACCACACTCAGATGCTGCGTGTCAAGGAGTTCATCCGCTTCCATCAAATCCCCAACCCACTAAGGCAGCGCCTTGAAGAGTATTTCCAGCATGCCTGGTCCTACACCAATGGCATTGACATGAATGCGGTGAGTGCACTGCTTTGCTAGCTGGTATACTAGCATCCATCTATCTTCTGGATAAAAATGCTCCAAAAAACGATTGTGTTAAGGTTCAGTCCACCCAAAAATGTTATTAATGGCGAGCTGAAACATCACGCAGGTATATTATGTCTCTTGTTATATAATCTGCATCTGTTCATATTATCTGTTTTGGATGGAGTGGCCTTTTGATATTTTAACACTGCCAGACAGACAAAACCATGCTAGTCCAGGTTTTTATAGCTTTGCTTAGAATCATATTGTACAAAATGCACAAACTGCAAATGACATGCAACTGCCAAGGGCTACCAATCAATTGCTCTTTCCCACACTAAACTAGAAAGCTTTGCTTTAAATTTGATGGGTCACTGGAGGTCACTGCTCACGATTCACTGCTATTAACAATAACTTGTCAAGAGAGAAGTATGTATGTCCCAACACAGTCCTTTATACTGAGAATGAAAGTTCAGGTAACAATCATTTTAAGACAGAGACCAACAATAACAGCCTACATACAGTATACAGTATTTCTCATTGTGTGCTATAAAAAGCTAAAGGCCATGGTGTATTAGACACATCACCCAATCAAAATTATGTTTTATTAATTTTAATTATTGACATTGTTGACATTCAATGAGATGTAAACATGTTTACAGTAGGTAAATAATATTAATTAAGACTGTCAGTTTTTTTAAAAGGTGTCTTTATAAATGTTCCTAATTTTCATAACTGGACAGTATATGGTAGAGAGGAAATATTTTTTGGGGGGATTTGTGTTAGGATGGGGGATTTGGGGCATTTGCGCTGCAAGGGGGGATTTGAAGTGGGGGAGAGAGAGGATTTGTGCTAGGAGTGGGAGATTTTTTGTGTTTGTGTTGGGGGGGGGGGGACTTGTGCTGGGGGGCATATGGGGAGAGAGAGGATATGAGCTGGGGTGACAAAGATTTGTGCTGAGAGGGGGGATTTCAGTGGGGGGGGTGGATTTTGTACTGGGAGGAGGGCGAATTTATGCAAAATTTGTATCCAGCCCCCTTTACCCTGATACCCCTAACTAAAATCTAGTGGTGTCAGTTGCCTTCAGAAGTCACCTAATTAGTAAATTTAGTCCACCTGTGTGTAATTTAATCTCAGTATAAATACAGCTGTTGTGTGAAGCCCTCAGAGGTTTGTTAGAGAACATTAGTGAACAAATACACCAGACAGGTCAGGGATAAAGTTGTAGAGAAGTTTAAAGCTGGGTAGGTTATAAAAAAAAAATCACAAGCTTTTAAATTCTCACGGAGCACTGGTCAATCCATCATCTGAAAACGGAAAGAATATGGCACAACTGCAAACCTACCAAGACATGGCCGTCCACCTAAACTGACACGCTGGGCAAGGACAGCATTAATCAGAGAAGCAGCCCATGGTAACTGTAGAGGAGCTGTAGAGATCTACAGCTCGGTGGGAGAATCTATCCACAGGACAACTATTGGTTGTGCACCCCACAAATCTGGCCTTTATGGAAGAGTGGCAAATTGAAAGAAAGCCATAAGAAGTTGCAGTTTGCAAGAAGCCATGTGGGGGACACAGCAAACATGTGGAAGAAGGTGCTCTGGTCACATGATACCACAAACAAACTTTTTGGTCTAAAAGCAAAACGCTATGTAATGCGGAAAACTAACACCGCACATCACCCTGAACACACTATCTGCACCGTGAAACATGGTGGTGGCAGCATCATGTTGTGGGGATGTTTTTTTCAGCAGGGAAGCTAGTCAGAGTTGATGGGAAGATGGATAGAGCCAAATACAGGGCAATCTTAGAGGAAAACCTGTTAGAGATTGGGGCAGAGGTTCACCTTCCAGCAGGACAACGACCCTAAACATCCAGCCAGCGCTACAATGGAATGGTTTAGATAAAAGCATACTCATGTGGTAGAATGGCCCAGTCAAAAGTCTAGACCTAAATCTTATTGAGAATGTGGCAACACTTGAAAGATGCTGTTCACAGACGCTCTCCATCCAATCTGACAGAGCTTGAGCTATTCTGCAAAGAAGAATGGGCAAAAATGTCCCTCTCTAGATGTGCAAAGCTGGTAGAGACATCCCCAAAAAGACTTGCAGCTGTAATTGCAGTGAAAGGTTGTTCTACAAAGTATTGACTCTGGGGGGCTGAATACAAAAGCATGCCACACTTTTCAGATATTTATTTGTAAAAAGTTTTGAAAACCATTTATCATTTTAAAATGATAAATGTTTTTCTATAAATTACTCTATAAAAAGTACAGGTCGGTGTGTTCTCTGGCTATAAGCACCACCCTTTGTGTTGCTCAGAGAGGTAGGCTGCATAGAAGGGAATCAAATGGGTCACAAAAGACCCCAATGAATATGACTGCAATGTATTATACACAGCTCACACTGAAGGGGCCTTGTGTTGTCAGTTCACAGGACGTTCAGTCAGCCATAGATGGATTGGAATTTGATCCATAAATGGCTGTTCCTGCTTGACAGAAGCCAATCTAATGGTCACCTTCTGTTGAATGGGAATGTTGGAAACCTTTTTCAATCAGCGGTTGCAGCCAATCAGCTGCAGCCACAGATCAGTGTATTGTGTATTGTGACAGTGAAGTCAGAATACAATAGCACAGCTGGGAGGTTTCCTCCATCCACCTCGTTTGTATGGATGGAGGAATTTGTTCACTGTTTTTCAATCAGCTCACTAGCAAGTTGAAAAAAAAAACAAGTCATCTCTGGACATCCTTAGAAGCACACTGGATTTCCAACAGGATTAACAGGTATTCTTCTGAACTTGCAGTATGTTTAAAGAGACAAAACATGGGGAAATGTACATGTATTGCAGCAGTGTCTTGCAGCAACATACTGCATATTTTTTATTTTCTAATTATGCTCAGATCACATTCAGTTGCTATCTAGGTCTTTCTATGCAGGTTAGGAGTTCTGATTTCATTGTAACCTAATGCTTGCAAACGTGTTCAGTTAGTGACTCCGGAAACGTTGAAACTAAAAATAAGCAATGGCAATCTGCTTATTTTCCTCATTATGACTTTTGTTTATGACAAGCAGATTGCGATTGCTTTTGGGATTTATCTAATGGAGAGGATTAGCGATTTGCTATTACTTTTCTACTTGTTTCTTGGAGTTTTCTATACAGGACTATCGATTATGATCTTTTATAAGTTTAGGATATTGAATCTTTACCATAAAAAAGAAACATTCTATGCAACAAAGTAAATCTGTGATTTGCCCATCCAGCTTTGAAGTGTAACAAAACCCAAAGAAACAATGTAATAAACTTCAGCTTACCAGTCCTTAGATATACGTGTCCAATAAGACGCATGTGGTGCACGTCAAAAAATGAAAATGTGTGTGAGAAAAGCTGCTAGCACGCCATGACATATTTATCACAGCCAAAATAATATACCATGTGCTATGCTAATTTAGTATATAAATAATACATAAACAATACAAGTACCGTATTTGCCGGCGTATAAGACGACTGGGCGTATAAGACGACCCCCTACTTTTCCTGTTAAAATATAGGGTTTGAGCTATACTCGCCGTATAAGACTACCCCCATTCCGAGGCAACACCAAATAAAAATGAAAAAACATCAGATTTGATTTCAATATGGTATGCTATTTCAGTATGGTATTCCAATGATGGGGTGCTATTCCTCCCACTGATACCAATGATGAGGCACTACTCCTCCCACTGATACCAATGATGGGGCACTATTTCATCCACTGACACCAATGATGGGGCACTATTCCTCCCACTGATACCAATGATGAGGCACTACTCCTCCCACTGACACTAATGATGGGGCACTATTTCATCCACTGACACCAATGATGGGGCACTATTCCTCCCACTGATACCAATGATGAGGCACTACTCCTCCCACTGACACTAATGATGGGGCACTATTTCATCCACTGACACCAATGATGGGGCACTATTCCTCCCACTGATACCAATGATGGGACACTATTCTTCCCACTGACACCAATGATGGGGCACTATTCCTCCCACTGATACCAATGATGGGGCGCTATTCCTCCCACTGATACCAATGATGGGAGAATATTGCTCCCACTGACACCAATGATGGTGCCCCATCATTAGTCAGTGGGAGGAATAGTGCCCCATCATTGGTGTCAGTGGGAAGAATCGTGCCCCATCATTGGTGTCCGTGGGAGGAATAGTGCCCCATCATTGGTGTCAGTGGGAAGAATAGTGTCCCATCATTGGTGTCAGTGGGAGGAATAGTGCTCCATCATTAGTGTCAGTGGGAGGAATAGCACCCCATCATTGGTGTCAGTGGGAGGAATAGCGCCCCATCATTGGTATCAGTGGCAGGAATTGCGCCCCATCATTGGTGTCAGTGGGAGGAATAGCGCTCCATCATTGGTATCAGTGGAAGGAATAGTGCCCCATCGTTGGTGTCAGTGGGGAGGGGGAATAGTGCCCCATCGTTGGTGTCAGTGGGGAGGAGGAATAGTGCCCCATGGTTGGTGTCAGTGGGGGAGGAATAGTGCCCCATCATTGGTGTCAGTGGGAGGAATAGTGCCCCATCATTGGTATCAGTGGAAGGAATAGTGCCCCATCATTGGTGTCAGTGGGAGGAATAGTGCCCCATCATTGGTATCAGTGGAAGGAATAGTGCCCCATCATTGGTGTCAGTGGGGGAGGAATAGTGCCCCATCATTGGTGTCAGTGGGGGAGGAATAGTGCCCCATCATTGGTGTCAGTGGGGGAGGAATAGTGCCCCATCATTGGTGTCAGTGGGGGAGGAATAGTGCCCCATCGTTGGTGTCAGTGTGGGAGGAATAGTGCCCCATCATTGGTGTCAGTGGGGAGAATAGTGCCCCATCATTGGTATCAGTGGGAGGAATAGTGCCCCATCATTGGTGTCAGTGGGGGAGGAATAGTGCCCCATCATTGGTGTCAGTGGGAGGAATAGCGCCCCATCATTGGTATCAGTGG